TATTACCAGACAGATACGTCTGTGGAAGAAAAAAAAAAAAAAAAAAAAAAAAAAAAAAAAAAAAAAAAATATAATAATAAAATAATAATTATAATAATATAATTATAATAATAATATTAATAATAACAATAATAATGGTTATAATAATAAGGGTACCGGGGAAATTAAATACCCGGGGTGGACAAAAACTAGCATTACCGCTCTATGGGTTAGCACCCCGTAGAACGTGCTTCTAACCGCTGTAAAGACGAGAAGGAATACAGTTTTGGGCGTGGCAGAGAATCAGGCTGACTCTGTTCGGAAGCGTCAGGAGGCTATGCCTGTCTTGGGATCCAGTGAAGTAGGTGGCACTGACCCGAGGATTGGACCTACCACCACACAGGCGATGGAAATGGAACAACGATTACATCGAAGCTCTGAAAGTGTTGCCGAGCAAATTGCTCGTCCCACTCAAGAGGATAATAGTCGTAGGAAACGGATGAAATGGAGTGATGAAATGAATGAATACCTCTACCGTACCTACCTCAAAATCACCAAAATGGAAACATCAAAGGACCCCTATAGCGTCGAACTCTACCAACCATGATTGGAAGGTTTCCTGATCTAGCAAGTAAAAACACGTCAGAACATATTGGACCAACGACGACATCTCTTACGACGAACAGGGTAGCGATAGATAAAGTGAACCGGATACGAAGAGAAGTGGAGATGGAACTCGGAATAGGACAGGCTGAACCATCACGCGAGCTAGAGGATACAGCAAATACCAGCAGTGAAAGCACAAATATAAGGCAGATAGAAACTGAAGAGAAAACATGTTTTGAAAGGAATTTAATACTGTTCAAGATCCTTTTCTGAGACCAAGACCTGCCTCGGTTGAGAACAAATAAGAATACTGTTCATATCTTGAATAGAGTAAATCATGTCATGACGACCAAGTTGTGTGACATAACCGGTATAACTGATTATCATGACCTAATCTATGCCGGCGCTTATACTGTGATTGAACTGCACCATCAAAAGATAAATCAATCATACAAGCTACTGAACAAAAACCCAGATGGCAGATGAGGATCGAAGGGAAAATAAAAGATCTACGAGCAGCTATAGGCCCCCTTGTTTCAGTACATCAAGTCAGATGCCCCGTCCAACCGGTTGCGAAATAAAGTCACAACAATAACCCAGAGACATCATGATGAGGATAATCAAAATCCGATACAGATCCTCGATAAGCTCCAACAAGGTGTCTGTATACGCAAATCGCCTAAAGCGATATAAAGAGTCGCATCAAGAAAACTGCAAATAGCATATTTCGAACGAATCAAAAGAGGTTTCTATCGCTCACTGGAAAACGAAGATGTAAGTACTACGGGTAAAACTCAGAAGCTAGAGATGCATAACATATTGGGCGGACCTATGGGAGAACCCTAAGACCTCATAATAATAAACAAGTTGGCTCGCGGACGAAAAGAGGAAAACCGAAAAAATACCCATGATGCACTACAACGTCATAACTGTGTGGAGGATGTTAAAAGATCTATAAACAACACGCAGACTGGAAGGCGCCTGGACCTGATGGCATCCATAACTATTGGCTCAAAAATTCAGTCGCACACACGAAACGTTTAGCGATGATTTGCACAAGCCTCTTGCACGATCCAGAATCCATTCCAGCATTTCTGACAACGGGAAACACCTACTTGCTTCCTAAAACATTCCCTTCTGTGAGCGATCCATCAAAATACAGGCCAATTACGTGTCTTCCAACCATATATAAAATAATTACTTAAATTTTATGCGATCAAATTTACCAGCACCTTGAAAGGCATCATCTGCTCCCAGAAGAACAGAAAGCCTGCAAAAAGGGAAGTCGTGGCTGCAAAGAGCAACTTACAATAGATACAATCATCACGGAGGAAGCAAAGGGCTGTAAGAAAGATCTGTATGTTGCATACATTGACTATAAAAAGGCCTTGACAGTGTTCCTCACTCTCTATTAATTGAAATGCTCCAAATATATAAAATCAGCCCTAGTATAGTGAGATTGCTGCAAAACCTTATGCCTCAATGGAAAACTAATCTTGTAATAACCCATAAAGAAGAAAATATCAACATCGGTGCATCAGCATTAAAAGAGGTATCTTCCAGGGAGATGCACTAAGTGCTTTATGGTACTGTATTGTATTAGCACCTCTATCTAGAATGCTGCACAAGAAGAACGAAGGTTATAAGCTTCAGAACAACCTACAAATAAGCCATCTAGCTTACATGGATGACATCAAACTAATATCTGCCACTAAGGATGGACTGGACAGGTTGCTTAAAACCATAAAGAAATACAGTGCTGACACAAGAATGGAGTTGGCCTGGACAAGTGTAAGATTGGGGCTATTAGAAAAGGCATATGGGAAGATCACCCAGGGTTTATGGTTGGAGCAGGGTCAGACAATAAGAAGCATGTCTGAGAAAGAGAGCTATACATATTTGGGATTAGATCAGCAAGGGGTATCAAACTCAAAGATATGAAAGAAGCTCTAAAGCAAGATTAACGAGTAGGTCAAATCAATACTTAAGACTCATCTGTCCGCAATACACAAAGTAAGGGCCATTAACACATATGCTATTCCGACAATAACATATAGCTTCGGAATAATCAAGTGGACAGACTCTGACTTAGAGCAGCTAAACAGAAACATAAGAGTCTTATTTACAAATCATAGAGCAAGACATCCCAACAGTTCGATCGAAAGATTCTACTTGCCAAGATCCAAGGAGGACGAGGCGTGATTGACCTTAAAGCAGCTAACCTGCGGAATATAGAAAACCTCAGGAGATTTTTTATAGAAAGGGCGAAACATCTGCATATCACAGAAATATAGCTTCAGCTGACTACAAGTTCACACCACTGAACCTGTCGGATGAACAGTATGAACCTCTAACCCATGTGACCACCGACGAACAATGGTATCATCAATGGAAGTCCAAACAGCTTCATGGAAGACATCCAGCCATGCTCAGCTCAGATCACATTGATGCAGAAGCGTCACATGGATGGCTGAAGAGTGGGGAGCTATTTTCGGAAACTGAAGGTTTCATGATTGGCATTCAAGATCAGGTGATACCAACCTTAAACTATAGAAAATACATCATGAAAGAAGAAGGCATTGAAGATAGATGTCGTATATGCCATAACAAGTCGGAAACAATAGAGCATATCCTGACGAGCTGCACTCCCCTAGCTTCCACTGAGTATCTGAAGCGCCACGACAACGTGGCTAAAATAGTTCACCAAGAAATTTGTTATGCTGCGAACATACTAACTGACCGCACCCCATATTACAAGTACCAGGCGACTCCATTATAGAAACTAACAGCCATAAAATATACTGGAATAGAACAATTCAAACAGATCACACCATGGAATACACAAACCAGATATCGTAGTGCAAGATAAAATGAGCAAGTTACCTGCATAATTGACATTAGTGTGCCTGCCCCACATAACATAGCTGAGAAGCAGACAGAAGAGGTTCGCAAGTACTTACCACTAGCTGCAGAAGTAAAAACACTGTGGAATCAAGAAAAAGTTGAGTCATCCCAATAGTGATCGGAGCCACAGGAGAAATACCTAAGAGTCTACATAAATATATTGAGAAACTAATCTGCCGCAGAAACTATACCTCTCACTTCAGAAAGCTGCTATCTTAGGTAGTTGTCATGTAGCACGCAAGGTCTGAATGTAGCCACAATAGACAAAGAGAAACCATAGTCACACTCAGACGCTTGCAGTATAATGCCGCGTTTGAGATACCACCTGCAGTAGCAGAGAATAGCTAACAGAAAACGGAATAAGAAAAGAAGAATAGTAATAAGAAGAATAATAATAATAAGATATAATAAAATAATAATAAGAAGAATAATAATAATAGAATAAAAATAAAAATAAGAATAATATAATAATAAGAATAAGAAGAATAATAATAATATAAATAATAGAATAATAAGAAGAATAATATAAGAATAATATCAATAATAATAATAATAACGAATTTATAATAATATAATTAATAATAATATATAATAATAATAATAATAATATAATTATAATATATAATAATAATAATATATAGTATAATAATAATAATAATTATAGTAATAATAATAATAATAATCATAATAATAATACTAATAATAATAATAATAATAATTAATATATATAAAATAATCATAATTGTATGTGCTACGCACTGGCAAAATGGGTTTCGACCATCTCCCGCAGGAGCGCGCCACCATCCAGCGCGCAGCCTACCACTGCCGACCGGAAGACCGTTGAATTTTGAACGGTCCAATGGGATGCCTTCCTCTCGGAGCGACCAGGAGAGAGGCCGGAAGAAGCTACCTTTTTGACCATAACCAGAAAATCTGTTCGGTATAGACAATTTTTCAATTACGAACAGTTTCTCATGAAATGTACATACAATACATTGAACAAAACATAAATGTAAATCAATAAAATACAGTCCACTATACACAACATTTGGTCCAATCGACCCGGATAGCCAGTGAAACAAGCAAGTAAACATGAAACAGTTCACAAGTGCAGGCGGCAGGCAAGAATCCACGCCATATTCACAGAAGTTCAACGCAATCAGCAATACAAGTGGAAGACAGAAATCCACGCAGGTACCATTTACCATTTCCTTGATTCAGTCAATATAGCGACAAATGCTACTTTGAATTCGACTCGTATTACATGTGCAGGCATTCAACAGCCTAGAAAAGCAATATACTCTCAAGTGAGAAGTTTACTGGTGTCAATTTATGCCCAATTCATCAATTTCGATTCATTTTTTATCGATACTCATTCACATAAAGCAATTACACAATGGCACAATCAGTTTTGATCAGGAAACGAGGCACAATCAAAGCCAAGTTGGCTCATTTTGAAAATTCTTGAACAGCGTACAGCCTCAAAATTTAGACAGACAACTATAATTCATATGCAAGAACGGTGTACTAAATTCGAAACCCTTTTTGACAGCTTCGATGAAATTCAGTCAGAAATTGAATGTGAATCAGATAATCCAGAAGCATGCTATGCAGAAAGAGAGGATTTTGAAACCAAGTTCTATCTTCAGCTCTCAAGAGCTAAATGTTTATTAGAATCACAAAGTAATCTCAGTAACAACATTCCTCACAACAATGATGATCACAATGATGACACTAAATCACAACAATCTGAATCTGATACGCAATCAATTTCAGAGCAATCAGTTTACACACAAGGTCAGGCCACTCATGTTATTCAGTCACAAAATGATGGCTTCAAACTGCCTGATGTAGATTTACCAAAATTCAATGGCGAATATGAGTCTTGGATGGAGTTTCGGGAACCTTCGAGTCCATGATACATATGAATACACAGCTACACAACATACGTAAGTTTCACTATTTGCGGGCTTCATTAGCAGGAGATGCAACCGTGTAATTCAAGAAATCGAATTTACAGCAGACAACTACAGCATAGCTTGGCAAGTTCTTAGAGACAGGTATGATAACAAACAGGTTCTAATTCAAAATCATTTACGTGCAATTTGCAACTTTGAGGTTTCAGCACTGCTTCATCAGCAAAAATCAGAGAAGTATCTGAGAATCTTTTCAAACATTTAAAAAGTCTAAAGCAGTTAGGTATCAGCATAGAAAAGTGGGATGTCCTAGTCATCTATTTAACAGTCAGTAAATTAGATCGCTATTCAAGCCAAGAGTGGGAGCGGCACACATCAAATACAGATATACCCACATTGGTTGAGTTTAAAGATTTCCTCAGAAAAAGAGCAACATTGTTAGAAAAACTAGAAATGGATTATGTTTCAAAAGGTGATTCATCACGATATCAATCAGATAAAAGATATTCAAAGGGTTCTGCTCGTTCAAAGGGTTTAGTCACTAGTGGTATCTCAATCAAGGTGAAAATGTTAGCAAATCAAACAGAGTTTGTTACAATTGCAAAGGTGATCACAGCATATTTTATTGTTCGGACTTCTTGAAATTATCAGTACAAGAGCGATTCAACAAAGTCAAATCGCTGCAATTGTGCCTGAATTGTTTAAGAAAGGAACACACGTCGCGTGACTGCAAATCTTCTGGATGCAGGCTATGTCACATTAAGCATAACACGCTTTTACACACAAATCAAAATGTTTCAGTATCAGTAACCCAAGTTGATGAGATCAATGATACACACAATGAATCCAATGAGGTCAAGGTAGGTGCCACCCAATGCACTCTAGTAGCAGCACAGAATGCCTTACTTGCCACAGCACAGGTGGATGTCACAGGTAAGTCAAGCACACAGCATTTCGTAACAGCACGAGCACTGTTAGATTGTGGCTCGCAATCCTCATTCATAACCACAGATCTATGTAACAAACTAAAGCTACCCAAGTTTAAGGTCAAGTTGGCAGTTACTGGCATAAGTGACAAGCTGTCATATGCTAATTACAAGTGTGAATTAAGCATTCACTCGAGACATAGTCAATATTCAATCCATATGTCATGTTTTGTTTAGACAAGATAACCTCAATGGTTCCTGACAATAATATTCCTATTCAACATTTCATTTACCAGTCAACATCAAACTGGCAGATCAGAATTCAATGTACACGAAATATTGACATTTTAATCGGTGCAGATGTTTTTTGGCAATCTTAGAGAGTGAACGCATCAACATTAGTAAAGATTTACCCATTTTGCAAATACCAAATTAGGTTGGGTCCTCGCTGGTCCATTATCCATGCCAGTCACAAAAACTCAATGTCATTTGTCAGTAACAGATCCTTTACAGAATCAGTTTAAGAAAGTTCTGGGAGCTGGAAGAAATCCCATTTGATTCCCGGCTTGGTCCCCAGAAGAGCGTTTATGCGAAAAACATTTATTGAAAATCTGCAAGTTTAGAAAACGGACGTTTCATGCGTCATTGCCATTCAAAGAATCTCCAGACAAGCTGGGTCATTCACGAGAGGTAGCAATTAAACGTTTCGTTGCATTAGAAAGGAAATTCGCTTCAAATGATCATTTCAGACAACTTTATACGGATTTTTTAAAGGAATATGCGTCATTAGGTCACATGACAGAAATCACAGACATTAATCATGAGCCAGAATACTATCTTCCTCACCACGGTGTCCTGAAGGAATCGTCAGCCACAACAAAGCTGAGAGTAGTTTCAATGCTTCATCTCCAACCTCGACAGGAGTTTCCTTGAACGACCTTCAAATGACAGGTCCAATAATCCAACAGGATTTGCTTTCAGTCATATTGCGTTTTCGATTCAAAAATATTGTTCTTTCAAGCGACATCAAAATGATGTACAGACAAGTTCTTATTCACTCAGATCAAAGAAATTTACAAAAAATAGTTTGGCGCTCCAGTCCAGATGAAGATTTAAAGACGTATCATTTAAATACAGTGACTTATGGCACCACAGCTGCTTCATTTCTAGCCATTCGTTGCTTACATGAAATCGCATTCAGATGCAAGCATGAATTTCCCTCAATATCAAAAATAATAAAGAATGACATGTACGTGGATGATCTATTGACGGGCGTAGATACACTAGAAGAAGCCGTATATGTATGTCAGAATATTTCCAAAATACTTCAAAAGCACGGTTTTGAATTACGAAAGTGGAAGTCAAATAATTTAGATGTTTTAAAGGGCTTTGATTCAGTTAACAGTAATCATTTAGTCGATTTCACAAGCAAGGACGATCTAACGAGCAAAACTTTAGGACTCGTGTGGCGTCCAGAATCAGACATTCTTACATATAAAATTCATTCTGAAACTAACCACACAGCGAATATTACCAAAAGGCAAATTTTGTCGAAAATTTCAACTATCTTTGACCCACTAGGGTTGCTTAGTCCTTGCGTAATCAAGGCTAAGGTCCTATTGCAATCACTTTGGGCGGAAAGTATAGCCTGGGACACTCCGCTGCCAGTTGACATGCGCAAGTCATGGCTCAGTCTTGCAGAAGACTTAAATATTTTGAATAAGCTTATCATCAATCGCAAGGTAGTATGTGACAAGGCAACGGCAATATCAATGCATGCATTTGCAGATGCTTCGGAAAAAAGCTACGGAGCATGCGTATACATTGTATCTGAAAATGCAAGTGGTAATAAAACCGCCAACCTTCTGTGCGCTAAATCTAAGGTTGCGCCTATCAAATCTCAATCAATGCCTCGACTAGAATTATGCGCTGCGTTAGTTGCGTCTCAATTAATTGCAAAAATATCAAAATCAATTGACACCTCATTTAGTTCCATTCACTGTTGGACGGACTCGACGATTGTTTTGGGCTGGCTAAAATCCAACCCTAGTACTTTGAAACCATTTGTAGCCAATCGCGTCTCAGAAATTCAGCGACTGACAGAATCTATAGAATGGCATCATGTTTCCACTCTGGACAACCCAGCTGACATTGTCTCGAGAGGTCTCAGCCCTAGTTCTCTAATGCATTCAAAGTTATGGTTTCATGGACCAGACTGGTTATTATACCTCGATCAATGGCCAACCTCGCCAATATTATTATCAGAACTACCGGAACAGAGGAAAGGGTGTAATGTTTCCTCCACACCAGCAATTCATTTTCCCTTTCATAGATTCTCCACCCTAACCAAATTAAAACACTGTTCAGCGTATATTTTGAGATTTATAAATAATTCACGTTTAAAACCAGGTGATCGTGCGCTTGAGCATTTTACAGTAAACGAACTAGAAAGATCCTTCACCTTTTTGATACGATTAGCGCAACAGGAAGCGTTTTCAGAGGAGATCAGTTCTTTACAAAAGAATCGTAAACTTCAATGCAATAACCGCTTAGTTAGCTTAAACCCATTCATAGACGAATGCGGAATCATGCGCGTTGGAGGGCGCTTGGTAAACGCTGAATATCCGTATGATAAAAAGCATCCAATTGTGCTTCCTCAAAAACACCACCTTACTAGACTTATATTCGAACATGAGCATCGGACCTTACTTCACGCGGGTCCGCAACTTTTGCTAGCTACCATACGAGAGAATTTTTGGCCCATTTCCGGGCGCAATCTGGCACGAAAAATAGTACGGGAATGCGTAATTTGCGCTAGGCATGCTGCACGTAACTTTCAACCAATCATGGGTTCATTGCCTAAGGCTCGCGCTCATCCTTCTTTACCATTTTCGCATGTCGGAATTGATTATGCGGGACCTTTTGCAATCAAAGACAAAAGAGGACGAGGTTGCAAAGTTATAAAATGTTGGGTAGCTCTATTCGTATGCTTCAGTACTCGAGCCATTCATTTGGAACTTGTGTTATCATTGAGCACCGATGACTTCCTCCAAGCACTTCATCGTTTTATTGCTAGACGTGGTAAGCCATTAGAAATATTCTCCGACAACGGTACCAATTTCATTGGGGCTGCTAAAGAGGTAAAGTATATGTACACCTTTCTTAATGAGAATTCAGAGACAATTTATTCCAAAACTGCTGACATGGGCATAAAGTGGCATTTCATACCAGTAAACTCCCCTCACTTCGGCGGAATATGGGAAGCCGGTGTAAAAGGTGTAAAACATCACTTAAAGAGATCAGTGGGACTTCATAAACTTTATCTTTTAGACTTTCAAACGCTTTTAATTCGCATTGAAGCTATATTGAACTCCCGTCCTTTATTTCCTTTGAGCTCTGACCCTGAAGATTTGACCCCTTTAACGCCTGCTCACTTCTTAATTGGTAAATCGATGCAGACTCTGCCAGTACCTACAAATATGTCTGCCCCCGAAAATAGATTGAGCCAATTCCAGTTATTAGACCGCCTGCACAGCCATTTTTGGACTAGATGGAGCAAAGAATATATCAGCGAACTGCAACAGCGCTGTCGTTGGAAGCAAACCCGAGGAGATCTCTAGATAGAACAGCTAGTGCTAATGAAAGACGACAACGCCCCTCCAGCCAAGTGGCGTCTTGGAAGAGTCATTCAGCTGTCACCTGGCACCGACGGCGTCCCCCGAGTTGCATCGTTGAAAACCGAGAACGGAATGACTTCTAGAGCTATCAACCGCCTGGTTCCATTGCCGGTTGTCCATCCGCAGGATTCCCAAGGCCCGGGGCATGTATGTGCTACGCCACTGGCAAAATGGGTTTCGACCATCTCCCGCAGGAGCGCGCCACCATCCAGCGCGCAGCCTACCACTGCCGACCGGAAGACCGTTGAATTTTGAACGGTCCAATGGGATGCCTTCCTCTCGGAGCGACCAGGAGAGAGGCCGGAAGAAGCTACCTTTTGACCATAACCAGAAAATCTGTTCGGTATAGACAATTTTTCAATTACGACAGTTTCTCATGAAATGTACATACAATACATTG